CACATATATGTGGGTACTATATTAATTACTTTGTTCTCAAATCAAGATTCATTGTCTTTGTAAATAGAATATAACTATGAATTCTATCAAACACCAAAGGAAACCAAACTATTCTCTCTCTAAGATCTGTTCTCTGACTTCTCTCTACATGTCTCCTCAACCAAACTCACGATTGTCCACCCAAGAAATTGATCTCTTGAGCAGATCAGTTAAACGCATCAAGGGAGATGAATACCCACCAATTGCTGAGGAGTTTCAAATGCTTGAAAATTAACAACAATCCTTGTCATACAGGGATTTAGTACTGCGCAATGAACCAGTAGAGATTAATTATGATACCTGAGTTAACTTGGCTCTATTGGAAGAGGAATCGGACACAGAAGATGATGGAAATATCCCAATGATTCTCATTTCAAAGGAGGAAAAGCATCGCATTCATACTCCTTGGATCAATTCAATTATTATCAAAGCTTTCAGCATAAAATCTACAAGCTACAATTTTGTGTATCCAAGGATTAAGGCTCAATGGAAACCACAGGGGTGAATGGATTGTATTGACCTTGGATTAAACTTCTTTTTAATCATATTCCAGGCAAGAGAGGACCTACTAAAGGTTCTTCATGGTGGACCATGGTTTTTCGGTTCCAGTGTTTTGAAACTTGGATCAGACCGATCGGTTCGACCGTCGCCCGGAGCATGAAATGGGCTTGGTTGACACCCAGGCCCGTTTGGACGGTTGGCCCGTCCAAACCCGGAGAACTCGTTCCACCCGTCCTGCCTGGACGGCGCGGCAAACCCGCCGGGCGAATTGCTCCATGCTGGACAGCACCACCGACACACGTTCTGTAAGTTTTTTTTTTTTTTTTTTCCCACAATCGGGGTTTCTACTTTCTAATTTCATTCCATTCTCTGATTCTCAACTCTTCCAATTCCCAATCTCAACTCTTACCAGTTACCACAACCAAACAAAATCAAAAAACCCACATCATCCATCATCCATCCGTAGATCGGGCAACAGATCTTCATCATCCATCGTTCTCCTTCTTGGCTTCTCCACTCTCCAGTCTCCATTCTTCAGTCTCCATCCTTTTTCCGACGAAGAAGAAACCACAAGGCAGCAAATTGGGCAGCAGATCGGCGTTCATCGTCTCTCCAGCAGATCGGTGGTTAGCAGGCAACAGTAGCAAGCAGCAGATCGATGTTCACCCACCAGCCTTGACCCACCACCAGAGGCCTTCACCGTCGTGTCCATCTGAGGGTACTGTTGGTGAGTTGGACGAAATCTGTTTCTCCACTGAAAAGTCTGAAATAGAAATTGATTTTTTTTTTTCCAGCTTCAATGAATGTAAACTTATAAAGTGTGAAACAGTGGCTATTAATTATAATTAATTAATTATTTCATGAAAATTTGTTAAATTAGATTTACTTTACTTATAAATTTTGAAACAGTGGCATTTTGATTGACCCGACCAACCGATCGATTGAACCGATCAGACTGGCCAAACCGAGAATCGATGAGCAAACCAATTCAATCATCGGTCCGATTTTAAAAACCATGGTCGGTTCGTACCATCTCACGATTAGGCAATGGGAGCCATCCTTTAATCTTGAGAAAGCCATTTGTACTACCATATCTATCTGGGCTCGCCTCCCTCAACTTCTGATTGAATATTATGATGTAAACATTTTGGAAAGAATTGGAAAGTTATTGGGAACCCCTTATGTATTGATGCCCATACTACACATCAATCTAGGGGACAATATGCTAAAATCTTCATTCAAGTAGATTTGGATCAACCATTAGTGCCTTGCGTTAGGATTAGGAATCATGTCCAGAGAGTACTATATGAAGGACTGGTGGTCCTTGGTTTTGCTTGTGGATGTGTGGGACATAAGGAGAATGTATGCCCACTTAAAGTGCCTCCTGCTCTAATTACGATGGATGAAGATGCCGATAATCAACCCACGCCAATTGAGACTGAAGCTAACTGTAAGTCAAGTCATGGTGATCAAAATTTAATTGGTCCATGGATGGTGGTTGATAGAAGGAAGAACAAAAAGAAGAATTTCAATGGAAGCTCTCAAAACTCACCAAGTAACTAAAACTATGCAAACTCAGTGAGTGAGGCTTAGGACAATCGAAGTGAGAAGATGCAAGTGGGTCTTGAGCTCAATGGAACACTGGAGAATGCATTTAATGAAGATATCATTACTAATAACGGTACTTCAAAGTGGATGTAAAAAGAAGTAAATGAGGATGGCAATGGACAGGCCCAAGGTCATGGGCAGGTAAGAAAGAAGTTTGCTTCTTGGGCCCAATCTAACTTAAAAACCTTTACTGTGCAGGTCAACCAAATACAATGAAAGGATAAGGAAATCTCAAAAGATAAGATTTCCTTACACAAGAAGGATACATGTCTGAAGGGAGGTTCAAAAGGGCTGACGATACTTCAAAAGGATTCACAAGATGTCAATAACTTATAGCACGAGATTTCCTCCTCCACTGGAAATGTGGGTCATGGATTTGATATCCTTAGAAATTATGAGTCTTGTTTGGGAGATATTGTTGGTCAAGGAAGACAACTCAGTGTTACCAATGCAGAAAGTGTTATCTTTGTTACTGGAAAGGGGCTCCAATCCCGTCGAGGGATGGGACTTGCAAACAATAGCAATGAAGTGGATCGGTCCTATTGTGCTTCAAAAAGGGGTGGATCCTACTCTTCTTCCTTCGCCATTGGATTGCATACTGTAACCCCAAAACTGTCAATCACTAGACATGTGCATCACGTCCAGTCCAATATGGAGCTCAGACATGGAGATTGTGGGATGGGAATTCTGGGAGGAACAGATCTCCCCCCAAATCACAACCATACCGTACTCCACATGTTCCTAAACAAGATATCAATGCGAGGACGCATGAAGAGTGTTCATCTCATTCTCATGAGGGAGGAAGTGCAATGCTCTATGGGGGCTTGCTTCACACAAAATCTTCTACCATACTCCTTCTTGGAAGCAAATATGTTGATTCACAACAAACAAATGAGCATTGCTTAGTGGAATTGGGAACTGGGCATATGGGTGCTGAATTCCTTTAGTGAGTCTATATGGACCATGAAAGTCATATCTTGGAATTGCTGTGGAGCGGCTAAATTGGAATTTAGGAGGACTACTATGGATATTAAAAAGGAACATAATCTTGCAATATTTGTGCTTTTGGAGACAAAGGTAGCAGGTTCTAGAGCCATGGAGATTGCTCAAGGCCTTGGTATGCCCAGATGTGAGATCATGGATGCAAATGGTCTTGTAGGTGGTATTTGGGTACTTTGGGATGATATGCAAGTCACTATTGATATTCTTAACAAAGGAGCTCAAGTTATCCATGCTATGGTTAAGGTAATTTCTAATCCTATTCTTTCTAATTTTTATTAGTTCTTTTTCGTTGTTTATGGTAGACCTCAATTTGATATGAGGTCATTGCTTTGGGATAATTTGGTTTAATTCTCGCAAAATATCAATGGCCCATGGGTTGCTATTGGTGATTTTAATGATGTTACCTCTCAATCTGAGAAGTTTGGAGGGAGTCCTGTACCATTATTTAGAATTAGGGTTTATACCGAGTGTATGGACATGTGTAACCTTCTTGACCTTGGTTTTAGAGGACCAAAGTACACTTGGGTTGATATGAGGGAGAATAACCATATTATTAGAGAATGGCTTGATAGCAGTGTTTTTGGGCCCGACCCGGTGGTTAACCCGATTTGGCCATCGTGTCTGATTAAACTGATTGAATTGGTTCACCCAACTGGTTCAACCGATCAACTAAAAAATAGTGTTTTTTGACATATTTATTATGTTTTACTATTGTATATTACTTTCATTTTATTCATAAGAAATATTCATCATAAGATCAACTTGAAAATCATCATTTAAGCCATTTAAAATAATAAATTTAATTAAATACATATAATTTTTAAAATCTAAATTAATAAATATTAAAATACATAATATAAGATAAGTTCATTAAGTATGATAATAAA